GGGACCAGCAGGTCCAAGTGGCGGTCCTTGTACCAAAGCACCAGTCGGCGTTTGGGAGAGCGCTGCCCTGCGTGAAACACCACGGGAGGAAAACACGCCATGGCTGGTATCAGGACGATTTGGGTGTCGTACAGACGCGCGAGAGCGCGCAGCTCCAAGTCCGACACGTAGCTGGACTCGGCACTGACAGCAGTAAGATACGCAGACCAGTCCTCCATGGGAGCTCCAGTGGGATCCTTCTTGTCCCACGACGCTTGGTAGTCCTCCGAGTGTTTGGTCATGTGTTCCACCGCCTCTGCTCGAAGAAGTCGGGGGTGTTTGTCGATTTTCCCCTTCGACAGCTTGTGCAGTCCCACTGAGAAGCAGTGGAATGCACATGCCCCATCCTTGGGTTGTTCCTCCAGACGCATCCCAGCCGGAATGGCCCGGAGCTCAGGAGAAACCGCAAGCTTCTTCGCCTTAGGCTCCTCGCCCGTGGGTCTGTCGTGCGACTTGACCTCCGAAGCGTTGCCAGGCTCGCCGTCCTTAGTGCTCGCCTCCTCATTGCCCACGGTCGCGGCGTCAGAGGCCTCAGTAGGGACCGCGATGGGAGTGCCACCGCGGTAGGTCTGCTTGGTTTCCAAAGGCACGGCGACAGCAGGTAGCTGTCGCTGCTTGACCCGCTCAGCACGTGGGGGAGCGACTCTGGCCCAAGTGGTGATCAGTCCCTCGCCCGTGTCTAGGTTGATCGGGGCCAAGTCGGCATCAGGATCGGTAGCATGGGAGCCCTTGAAATAAAAGGTTCTTTCACCCTTGGTTCCTCGGACTCGCATCATGACGATGTCTTGGAAGGTGGTCTCGAGGATGCTTTTCGCCTGCTCGGTGTCCACAGACATTGGCACGTGCTCGAACATCCATATCTTGGTAACCCGATCGCCACTCGTCAGGGTGTGGCGCGTGGCGATCCTGTTGCCCTTCACTACAAGGCCCAAGTCTCCGGCACACTTCACTGCTCGGGCGAGGTACTCGCCGTGAGCCTCCTGTTTGCTGGTGCGTTCCACCCAATTGATCCTGCTGCGAATGGCCATGGACCGTGAGGGATCTAGGAATACCCCGTCCTGTCCTGAAGCATGCAAGATCGCTTCCGCCTCGGGTTTCAGAAGACGGACTAAGCCGTACAACTGGTGGCCCGTCTCGCTGCCCTGCTCAGCCTTCCAGGCGAAGCTGTCCAAAGGGTGCACGTGCCTATCAGCGAGCCACTGAACCGCCCCTCGCTGGGGAGCTTTCTGAAAACTCTCCCAGAGCTGCTGCGATGCAAAGGTTTTTGAGACTCGCACAACAAGGACCTCGGTTGGTTTCTTCTCGATTTTCACAGCATGCTGTTGCATCCCCTTAGGCTGCGGCGCGGTGCCTTTCGCGTTGGAGATGTACTTCAGGACCGTAGCAGGTCTAAACACAAGCCTGTCACCAGACCGCCCCGGCACTCGTCGCTGGGTGTCTGCCTTTTGGTCCTCTTCGCGACCAAGTGTTACCGCCAGCACGCAGTAGTCTCGCTTGGATCCCGATAAAAGGCGGCTGAGCACAGCTCTCTGATCGACCCCACAGCGCACTACCGCTTTAAAGGTGACAGTAGGCGACGTGTCGTCAATCGCCTTGGCAACCTCACTGAAAAGCATCAACGGTGCATCCCAGTCTTGTTGCCTGAGAACGAACTCTTCCTGTGCAGCGGGCTTCCGCGTCACAACTTTCCAGTCGCCATCGTCAGTGGCTGGCTTTGGAAGGGCGGGGGCCGCGCCTCGCCCTTTGCCCGGTTTGTTTGGTTTAGCCGGTCGCTGTCCAGCCTCGCCGCCCTGAGCCGACGAGCCCTTGTCGCCTTTGCCCGGCCCGCCTTTGCCCTTCTCACTCTTGCCTTTGCCTTTGTCGCCTCGGTTCTCTCGACCCTTGGCTGCCGGCGGGGCAGGAGCAGCAGCAGAGGCAGGCACGGACGGGGTCGCACTAGCAAAGGCAGCACCCAGCCCAGAGCCGAAGGCTTCACGGAGCGCCTCCTTCACAGCCTCCCTCACCATATCACGAATCAAGTCTTTGAGTCCTAATCCGTCAAGCAGCCCGGCACTCCCACTGGCGGGGGAGGGTCCGGGATGGCTCGCTTCGCCGATTCTCGTTGCATTTTTCCAGTCGTGACAAAGCTGCTTCACTGGAATGCACATGCACTGCACAACACTCCCTCCGAAAGAAAAGCAAGACATGACCGACGTGAAAACACATGCAAGTCCTGTCCTGCCAGCTGGACCGGCCCACGTAGAACGGCGGGTTGAGGTAGCCGAGGAAGTAGCAACCCCAAGCGCTCGAAGGTCCGCCACTCCGTCGAAGCCGCAGGAGCCGAACACCTTGCCCAAACGTAGCCCAAAAGAGCAACCTGGGAAGCCTGTCCCGGGGCAGGGTAGCTTCTCCTTCTCAGGCCATTTTTTGAGAGAAGCCTCAAACTGGTAGAAGACGCCGTTGAAGCCACAGTCTCGGAGGTCCACGTCGTCGTTGCCCTGATCAGCGGTGGTGAAAGCCGCCGTGGAACACGCAGCACAGCAAGTTGAAGTAGTCGAAGCGGTAGCCCTCGAACCAGGTCGGAGCCCAACCTTCGCCGGAGTAGCCGAGGACCAAGACGGCCCACCAGGCCTAGCAGAGTCAGCCTCACCGCCGAAGGCCGAATCGTCGGCAGCAAGCCCAGCAGCCAAAGTAGAGGTCGAAGAGCTCGCGCCCACACTGGGAACCACCATGGCGGCACAGGAGTCGCGAGGGAGGCCCAGGGGAGCCCGACGGGCTAAGGTGGCGCCAGCACCAGCGCCGCAGTCGCATCCTGAAGCAGTGGGCCCTCCATGGCGCAGAGGAAGAGGCACCGCAGCTTGAGGTTCGGGGGTGGCGCAAGCAACACAAGTGCCCAGTGTGACTGCCAATGGCAGCTCTTTGTCCTCCTTGGGATCTTTCACAGTTCTTTGTCTCACTTTTTGTACATTTCTTGATTTCACTCTTCTCGGTTTTCGGGTCCGGCTCCCGCACAAAGCACAAGGAACCCTTACCCCTAAGCCCTAAGCCCTTAGCAGCACTCACCGCAAGGTCCTGGCGAAGAGCTCCAGCACCATTGGCACGGCATCCAGGGGCCGTCTTGCAGTCGCAACCTGAAGAAGCAGAAGCCGAGGAGTCCACCAGTCCCGCAGCACTAGCGGATATTCTCGGCCCTTTCGGTACACCTCGACCGCTGTGTGCAGCGACACGGCGGCCCACACAAAGTTGAAGATCACCTCCAGCAAGGCCAGCACTGCCCTGAAGGCCACCGGCAGGAGTAGAAGCAGAAAGGCCCACCAGCTGCGCAGCACCAGTGGATATTCCCGCTCCTTTCGGAAGCACTTGACCACCGGGCGGAGCAGCACGGCAGACGGCTCGATTCTCAGCGAAACCCTCGGAGTTGCCCGCCAGCTGCGCATCACCAGTGGATTTCCTCGGCCCTTTCGGAACAACCCGACCACCAGGAGCAGCAGCACGGCTCTCAGTGGCTGGATCGGAGTCGCATCCTGAAGTGTTGGTCCCTCCAATGCCATGGCGCAACGGAGGAGGCACAGCAGCTTGAGGTTCGGGGGTGGCACATGTACAACAAGTGCCCGCTCTGACTGCCAATGGCAGCTCTTTGTCCTCCTTCGGATCTTCATAAGTTCTTTTGCTCACTTTTGGTACATTTCTTGATTTGTGTCTTCTCGGTCCTTGGGTCCGGCTCCCGCGAGTGCAGCAAGAAACCCCAACCCTAACCGCCCTAACCCCTGAAGAAGCGGCACCGACGAAGTCCTGCAACAGAGCTCCGCCGAGGCGTCCACGATGAAGCAGCCAGCGCCTGGGGCGCCGGGTGATGGTCCTCCTCACGAGGCCCCTGCGAAAACGAAGCTTGGGCCTCAATCGAAGGCCAAAGGAGCAGCGGTCGCCACAAAGCCGAGACTGCGAGCCCCGACGCCAGCGAACTCTCCGCCCACAATGGCCATCTCGTTCCAGCGCCCTGCCGCGGCCGCCGACATTGCATGAAGTCACCCGGGTGGATCGAGCCGTAGACGGTGTCCTCGTTGAGGCCGCCTGCAACTCGCTCCCATTCTCAACATCACCTGCACTTTCGCTCACAAGAAGGCGATCGCCCTTCCCGGTAGAAGTGGCCACACAGCTGCAGCCAGATTCACCACAGCCCAAAATGGGCTCATCACTCACGGCACTCTCCTCTCGAAGCTCACACATGGTTCCTGAAGTATTGTAGCCAAGGCTGTCACCCACAGCAGCCCTCAGCCGGTCCAGAGCTCCCGAGTAGGCGAGAGCCCCTTCAGCACATGGATTTCCTTGGTCACGAAGTTTGCAAAGCAGCAGCATGAGCCCTGACCCACAGGACCATCCACCGCCCTCGCTCTCTGGTGCCATGAAGCCACTGCGCTAGCGATCTTTGCAGGGGCCTAACTCCCCCCCCGCCCTGGCCGTGCACAAAATGCGCTGGAGGCGTCGCTAGAGCCAAAGGCTTGATGCAATCATGCTTCGGTCAAAGTTCTCGCAACCCCAGACAAAGTGCGCGCAGAGCACGCACGATGCAGGATGCGAGTCCTGGGTCTGGTCACGTCGGTGTGAAACAGAAAGAAACGGCCAAAAGTCACAGACACTTCTGTGCAGTGGAGTGACAGCCTTTCCAAAAGTCCAGCGACTGGTTTGCAGAAGCGGGACTACAGGTTCAACGACACCTCGCGAGAGACAAAAGTACAAGTACGCGTACAGAGTACAGCTCAAGCGAAGCGACAAAGTAAAACACTGCCAAACGAAGCCCTAACTCTTTGTGAGAAGGGGCCGCGAAAGCACTGCAGCGAAGCCCTAACTCTTTGTGGGAAGGGGCCTCGGAAACTACGGTGGGCTGCATACGACTTTAAAAGACGTGTCAAGCAGGCCCGACATGAAGCATGTCATGTACACATGCAAGAAAACTCAAAACAAATTAAGTCGCCTCAGGTCTTTCAGCAGAGCTCGTCGTAGGAAATCAGTCGACGTGCAGGCCAGCGGCGAAGCCAGCAGCACTCCAGGAGCTCGCCAAAGCTGAAAGAGCAGAAAGTGCAGGGTGTCGTAGCAGCAGCATCACACCCATCAGCAGTGTCTGGAAACGTAGACTCAGCCCTCGAGCAGCCCTCACAGGAAGAAGCCGCCGAAGAAGGCAAAGTCCCAGAGGTTCCCGAAGTCGTCGTCCAAGCCGCCCCCGCAGAGGCCCCAACAGAGCAGCAGGTTGAGATAGCCGAGAGAGCAGCCGACCGTACCACACTAAGGCCCGCCGCCCCGTCAAAGCTGCCAGAGCCAAGGACCGTGCCCAAGAGCAGCCCCAACTGGTGGAGGTCGCCGTTGTAGCCAAAGTCCCGGAGGTCCACGTAGTCGAAGCCCAGGTCCTCGGTGGTAGAAGTCGCCGTGGTACACAAAGCGCAGCAAGTTGAAGTGGTGGAAGAAGCCGCCGACCAAAGGCGCAGGTTCGCCACCCCGCCACAGTCGCAAAAGCCCGAGACCAGGCCCAGCTGCCCCCACTGGTAGAAGTCGCCGTCGTACCCAATAGACCCGGTTAGACAAAAAATTGCCGTCTCTTCGGTCCTTGTAAATCTATATATTTCTACGATTTCGTCAAAGTGTTTCGGCAACTTGTTTTGCCGAAAATAGTTTAATCCTGAAACGCAAATTAGACGAATCGGTGGCACGAATTAGATTAAAATCGTTTTGACGATTTCGTCACAAGATTTGCCGATTTCGACAAAGCTCGTTTTGACTATTTCGGCAAGATTTGCCGAAATAGTTAAGTCGGCGGCGGCCCAAACTGCTATCAAACTGCTTCACTCAACGGCTGAAACTGCTACACCTGTTTTGTGGTTTTGATGGCACATTTTTCAGTATATACGCAGATTTGCCTATACATCGTCAGTCAAAGAGCACAGCAAACTGCCACCAAACTGCTTCGCTCAGCCCTCCAAACTGCTAGGGTCTCGCCCGGGCCTCCCGAAGCAGTTTAGTTGAAATTTCCACTAAACTTCCTGCGCATGTGCGCCGACCTGAACAGTCGAAATCGTAGAAATCTATAGATTTGGACCACACGATCTGACGAAATAGTTTCGTAGTTTAGACAACTATTTGTCGAAGCTTCGTCAACTTTTGTTGTCGTCGGCAAACACGAATAAGGTTAATCTGTGCGCCACCGCAAGCATCTATCTAAATCGAAGGAATCTGTCTAACCGGGTCTATTGGGTAGCCAAAATCCCTGAGGTCCAGGTCGTCGTTGCCCAGGGCCTCGGTGGAAGTAGCCGCCGTGGTACACCAAGCACAGCATGTAGTAGTAGAAGGAGCCGCCGACCAAAGACGAAAGATCGCCACTCCGCCAAAGTCGCACAAGCCCGAGACCTGACCCACGAGCCGCCCCCACTGGTAGAAGACGCCGTTGTAGCCAAAGTCCCGAAGGTCCAGGTAGTCGTTGCCCAGCTCGCCCATGTAGTAGCCGCCGCGGTACACGAGGAACAGCAAGGCCAGAGACCAGGTCCTCGAGCAGCCCCTGCAGGTAGAAGCCACCGTTGAAGCCAAAGTCCCGAAGGTCCACATAGTCGTTGCCCAGGTCGCCCGTGTAGTAGACACCGTGGTACACGTAGAGCAGCAAGTTGAAGTAGTCGAGGAAGTAGCCGATCAAACCACCCGAAGGTCCGCCACACCATCGAAGTCGCAGGGGTCGGAGACCTTGCCCAAGAGCCGCCCTAGCTGGTAGAAGCCGCCGTTGAAGCGAAAGTCCCGAAAGTCCACGGAAACATCCAGATCGCCCGTGAAGGAGGAGCCGTCGCAGCACACGAGGAGCAGCAAGGCGTGGAAGTCGAGGGAGTCGTAGGCCCTCGCAGCCGCGCTTGAAGCCACCATGGCGGCACAGAGGTCGCAAGGGAGGCCCAGGGGAGCCCGAAGGGCTAAGGTGTTGCCCACGCCGGCGCCGCACGCCCGGAGCGCAGCCATCGCCACCGTAGCCACGGAGAAACCACCGCACCGCTCGAGGCCATCGCAGTCCTGACCGCAACCTGAAGCAAGGCAAGTCGTTCGAAGCACCTGACCAAAAGTCCTGCCCAGAGCGACATGCAAGAAGCTACCAAGTCGCAGACATGAATACACACATGAGCACATGCACTGCCTACCATGCACCGTCACGCCTAAGAAATGCATGCACAAGCACAGTCGCTTAATCATGAGCGTCATGCTCGCTTCCCTGTGCAGCTTCAGTGTGTCGTCGCTGCAGTGCCGAAAGGTGCGAATGATACACATCGCTCGCGTGTGCTGAGGCGTAGAGAGCATTGCGCTCCCACGCCTCGGCCTCCTCTGCCAGAGGCTTCCATCGACTGCGTAAGGAACCTGAGAGGCGTCGCCCCATGGCCTGGCGTGCCTGCGTGTCGGCTTCTTGGTTGTGAGTAGCCTACAGAGCTCACTAGACAAAGGCGGAGGAGCGCGCCAAGTCGCATGCTTATTGTGCGAAGGGCACCATACCATGCGGATGCGCCAACTTAGGCCTGTCAAGCGTCGTCTGAGCCTGGCAGCCTCCTCAGCAAGAAGCGGCAGGCATGAGTTGCTCGGACGCCCAAGGGCCTCGAGAGCAGCCTGACAATCAACGACGACCCAAAGATCACAGGGCACAAGGCCCCGTTGACTCGCATGAAGGATCGCCTTGAAGAGAATCACCAGGGCCTTGAGCTCCGCTCGGAAAGGAGTTTGATCCTCACTGGAATCGCCACTCCCACCCCCACGGCCTCCCGGGAAAACCACACTGTAGGCAGCAACCCCGTCGCAGGCGGAGCCGTCCGTAGCAGCAATCATCCAGCGGTCAGGGAAATCACCTTCGAAGTCCTGGAAATCAAAGGCACCACCTGAAAGAGCTTCGGCCTCCAGGGCCGCAGACATGGCATCAGCCGCCAGCTGCTCCACAAAGTCCTCCTCATCGAGGCTCACCGGTGCAGGAGGCCACTGCGGGAGCGCCTTTGCCATCAGTCGCTCCTCGGATCTGTTCTTGGGCATGGCCAAGCCTTGCCTCAGATGCGCCGTCTTGGGGCACGACCAGGTCAAGTGTGCCCGGCTGGGCTGCTGCGCTCCGCAAAGGCAGACAGTGCGCGCATCGCCGGGGTTCAGCTTCATCCCTGCGGTCCAATACCAGACAGAGCAGCCGGTTCCAGCAGCAGCCCTGCGGGCTGTGAGGTTTGGAGCCTGATGGAAAACCTTGCGGTGGCCCTCGAAGCGAAGATCAATCGTCCCAGGGGCCGGGAGGTCCAGGCCCGAAGCAAAGTTGCCATCGCGATGCAGCCGCTGCCGAACTCGCCCACAACGGTTGAGGAACATACGCCGGTACTCGATGCAGAGCCAGTCCTCGAGCACCTGGAAGGAGTCAAAGCCGAAGTGGTAGAAGCGCTGCCTGTCGAGGTCGTCGTAGCGCATCAACTGCTTGCCGCCCTGCAGGACCTGCCAGCCAAAGCGATCGGCCGCCTGCGCAGCCAGAGGAAGCACCTGACGCCACCCATCGAAGGCTTCGGCGAGCGGGACGTGGTCCCTCCAGGCCAAAGCACCGGTCATGTACCGCGCCACCGCGCGGAAGGCCGCCAAGTCACAGGCGAAGTGAGGCTCAGTGCGCCAGCCAAGCAGCTCGTGAAGAAGAAGCCGTGGCGTGTCACGCAAGAAGTTCGCCTGGAAGAGGTGGTAGAGCTCGTCCGCGATGCAGCGAAGGTCCTCCTCTCGCGGCTGCGCAACTCCGCCTGCCCAGTAGAGCGCCGCTCCCACCAAAGAGGAGACCAACTGCTGCAGCACAGGCAGCGGAGCCCCCAGGCGCTGGATGTATCGGATCCTCCACTTCAGCTTGCCAAGGTCGAGCTTCAGCGGGGTGCACTCCTGAGACACCAGGTCGAAACGAATGCCGAGGAACTCCAGCACCGATTGGCACTGGTACCCTCTCGCCGCAGCCAAGGCAACCATGGAAGAGTCCTCAGGGTCGTGCGCGAGCGCGCACTTCTCCGGTTTGCACTGCAGTTCCAAAGCCTGGTCGAAGAAGTCAGAGCGGCCAAGGGCTGTGCGCATGTCCGCCTCTGCATTAGGCTGCCAGGCCGTCGGCCATAGCACCCTATCGTCTATATACACCATCGCAGTGATGCTAGACAGGTGTCCCACGGCATAAGTTGCCCATGCCTGCCCCACCAGCAAAGAGAGCAACGGGCTGAGAGGACAGCCCTGTACCACTCCGGTGTCGACCTTAGCAAAAGCCTGGGACGTAAAGCCCTGGACCTTAAAGAGTCTACGAGAATCACGATACAGGGCCCCGACGATCCGAATCAGTGCCGGTGGCGCGCGATAGTGCTCTAAAAGAGGGATCAACTCTTTCAAAGACAAACTGTCGAAAAAGTGTGAAAGGTCCTGCCTGAAGAAGGAGCGCGTGCCGCGCGTGTACGCGCCCAAGAGGCGTGCGCGTCAGAGACGCCCACGCCTGCCATGCCGCCCATCGCCTGTGCTGTAGCCCAGGAACTGGACCAGGCACGGAGCTGCCTCACCAACACACGTGCCCCGGCCCTCCAGAGCAGCGACATCAGTCCAATGGGCCTGGTGCGCCCGTCGGGTTTAGGGATGAGCACCACCAGCGCGTTAGTCCAGGAAGAGGGGAGTTGGCCATGCTCAAGAGCATGGTTCCACAGCTTGGCTGTGGCTTCCCAGAAGCCCATTGGAAGACGAAGCAGGTCGCAAGCTTGCCAGTCATCTGCACCGCCAGAGCGTTTGATCATCTTTTTCGTAGCTTTGTGAAGGGCATCCCCCGAAACACACAACGCGATGTCCTGCTGCTCCGGTCGGGGAATGTCAGCTAAGATCTTCCTGAAAGCCTCGTCGGGGAAAGCCCGGCCCGTGGGGCGTGTCCACGTGGAGGACCACTGTGCACCTTGGCTCGCCAAAATGCTCGTTGGATGTGTAGCGACCGCGGCCCGGAGCTCTTTGGGTTCCTGAAAACATGCTCGTGCCTGATCAGCTTTGCGTTTAATCCAAGCACAAGAGTGAGCGAACGATTTCTCCGTCGCTTGCCACGCTTCAACACTCGCCTGGACCTCCTGGGTGTGGAGCTCCTGCACCAGTTGCTCCACCACTGCACCGGCCTCGGAGAGGTCGCCGGCGAAGTAGGGGAGCTGCGGTACCAGCTCACGGAGGCCCGACAGCGAAGCCTTCACACATCGTCTCAGGTTGGCGTCCTCGGGCTCCAACTCGAGCTGCTTGAGTCGTCGTTGGAGCCGTCGCAGGCCTGCCAGGCCCCGCGAGGCCTTGGGAGCACGAAGAGAGCGACGACGATCCTCGCACGGCTCGGGCACAGGCTCGAAAGCCCGAGGGTCGCCACTGCCACGCTCCGCGCCCAGAGCCACCTCGGCCGCGCCCGAAAGCACGCCCCAGGCGTCGTCCAGCCGCCCATCCTGCAAGCAGTCGGTGAAGTCCCGCTCCACCCACGCCGCCTTAAAGCTGGCCTCGATGTCCTCGACGCTGCGGTCAGTGACAAAAGGGGCCCTCGCTGGAAGCCGATGGCCTTGAAAGTTCAAGTCAAAGTCCAACGTGTAGCGCACTGCCATATGGTCCGCAGGGCCATCTTCGTGATCCACCCGAGTGGTGGCCACGAGCGGATGGCTCACCCCAAAGTCAATGCGTCTGACGCGGTTTGGCACGTGTACGGCAAGAGCCCGTCGAAGGAGTCGTCGAGGCAACGCAACTGGCCCGAGGAGAAGAGGTCGTCCACGAGCCCGCCTTCGCCGCGCTGCCAGTTGAAGTCCCCAAAGAGGACGAACATGCACCTCCAGGGGCGCACCTCGTCCAGAAACTGTTGTACCACCTGCTCCGTGGCTTTACGGTCATCTGGGAAACCATACATGGCCGCGAGGATCAGAGGTCTGGCCCTCCCGCCCGACTGGACCTGCACCAGGCCTGCCGCCACCCGAGTGGCCGCCAGAGACCCTTGCAAGGGAAAAGGCCTGACCGACAGAGAGGTAGCGAGGCCCACCCTTCTGCTGCCGTGCGGAAGCTCAGGTCGCGAAAGTAGGAGCTGGTATCCTGCCTGCCTCCACGCATGCACGTAGCGCGGCACCTCCAGAGGCGTGAGGTCGAGCTCTTGGAGAGAAAACGCCTCAGCCTCAAAACTTTGAGCAAAAGCTAAAGTATTATGGATCTTTGACGCTCCGGCGCGAGCGACATTCAACGATGCAATCCTCAGTGGAAAAGACAGGCCCGAGCCCCTACACGAGTGGCCCAAGCCCTCCCCGAAGTCCTGGCCACGAGCGGCCTCCTGATCAGAGTCCATCATGGGCGGACGTGCTCACCTCCAAGGATCTCGCGAGCAGTGGCGAAGAGGCTGTTCAGAGCAGCCTCCTGCATGCCGTGCTTTTCGGGCCGCTTGCGACACCAGAGCTCAGTGCGCTCCAAGGCCTGAAGGTGCTTCTTCCGTGACTTAGCAGCAAGCACAAGGGAGCAAGTTTTGGCCTTGTGTTTCGGGAGCGCCGAGCGGCGCCAGAAACAAAGGCCGCACTTCAAGCACGTCCAAGCAGTTCGGAACTTAACCCTAGCAATGCGTTTCTTCACGTAGGAATATGGGCGAGGCCACACAAACTTCTCGAAGCCTTCCACACGATGCAGAGAATCATCCCGAAAATGCTTAGCAAGCTCCCTATTGCAAATCGTAACCCTCTGAGCCGCAATCTCACTGCCCACACGAGGCCGGCATAAGCGGTGCCACTTGCTGAGCGGGATCTCGGAGTGGTGTAGATCCCGATGGCGGCGCTTTGCCTTAGTGATGGCAGAGGCGGAGAGGCCGGACCGAATGGCCTCCGCCAGTCCATGAGGACATAGCGGGCAGCGCCAAGCGACCTTAGCACCCCTCTTGATGGGTCCGATGTAATCGATCGAGCGGGACTTCCGCCCCGGCAGTCCTTCGCCCTGATGGTAGCGAGTGCAGTGCAGCCAACGTTTGTTACAGAGGTCCGAAGGACTGCTCACAGCAACCGAGTACGCACAAAGCTCACAACGGAAGACCCTCAGCTTCTTGACCCCGTGCCCCTGCCAGTAAAACTTAGGCTTCGGCTTAGCCTTGGTAGCAACGGAGTCCTGCCCAGCCTCCTCCTCGAAGCAGTCGTCAGCAGCTGCACTGCCAAGAGTGGCCTGCGTGGGCCCAGCACCTGAAGCGCCAGCCCCCTGCGTCCACACTGTGCCTGCCGGTGTGCTCCAAGAAGACGAAGAGCTGGAAGTGAAGACCGTGCCAGGGCCACCCCAGGATCCCGCCGAGGACGACGCAGCCGACGCGTGCGAGCGCGGGTGCCCGCCCACACGAAGCTCATAGTTGATGGAGGCCGTGATGGAGCCGACATCTTCGGAGACCTTTTTGCCCTCCTCAGGGACAAGCAGGTCCAAGTGGCGGTCCTTGTACCAAAGCACCAGTCGGCGTTTGGGAGAGCGCTGCCCTGCGTGAAACACCACGGGAGGAAAACACGCCATGGCTGGTATCAGGACGACTCGGGTGTCGTACAGACGCGCGAGAGCGCGCAGCTCCAAGTCCGACACGTAGCTGGACTCGGCACTGACAGCAGTAAGATACGCAGACCAGTCCTCCATGGGAGCTCCAGTGGGATCCTTCTTGTCCCACGACGCTTGGTAGTCCTCCGAGTGTTTGGTCATGTGTTCCACCGCCTCTGCTCGAAGAAGTCGAGGGTGTTTGTCGATTTTCCCCTTCGACAGCTTGTGCAGTCCCACTGAGAAGCAATGGAATGCACATGCCCCATCCTTGGGTTGTTCCTCCAGACGCATCCCAGCCGGAATGGCCCGGAGCTCAGGAGAAACCGCAAGCTTCTTCGCCTTAGGCTCCTCGCCCGTGGGTCTCTCGTGCGACTTGACCTCCGAAGCGTTGCCAGGCTCGCCGTCCTTAGCAGTGCTCGCCTCCTCATTGCCCTCAGTCGCGGCGTCAGAGGCCTCAGTGGGGACCGCGATGGGAGTGCCACCGCGGTAGGTCTGCTTGGTTTCCAAAGGCACGGCGACAGCAGGCAGCTGTCGCTGCTTGACCCGCTCAGCACGTGGGGGAGCGACTCTGGCCCAAGTCGTGATCAGTCCCTCGCCCGTGTCAAGGTTGATCGGGGCCAAGTCGGCATCAGGATCGGTAGCATGGGAGCCCTTGAAATAAAAGGTTCTTTCACCCTTGGTTCCTCGGACTCGCATCATGACGATGTCTTGGAAGGTGGTCTCGAGGATGCTTTTCGCCTGCTCGGTGTCCACAGACATTGGCACGTGCTCGAACATCCAGATCTTGGCAACCCGATCGCCACTCGTCAGGGTGTGGCGTGTGGCGATCCTGTTGCCCTTCACTACAAGACCCAAGTCTCCGGCACACTTCACTGCTCGAGCGAGGTACTCGCCGTGAGCCTCCTGTTTGCTGGTGCGTTCCACCCAATTGATCCTGCTGCGAATGGCCAAGGACCGTGAGGGATCAAGGAAGACCCTGTCCTGTCCTGAAGCATGCAAGATCGCTTCCGCCTCGGGTTTCAGAAGACGGACTAAGCCGTACAACTGGTGGCCCGTCTCGCTGCCCTGCTCAGCCTTCCAGGCGAAGCTGTCCAAAGGGTGCACGTGCCTATCGGCGAGCCACTGAACCACCCCTCGCTGGGGAGCTTTCTCAAAACTCTCCCACAGCTGCTGCGATGCAAAGGTTTTTGAGACTCGCACAACAAGGACCTCGGTTGGTTTCTTCTCGATTTTCACAGCATGCTGTTGCATCCCCTTAGGCTGCGGCGCGGTGCCTTTCGCGTTGGAGATGTACTTCATGACCGTAGCAGGTCTAAACACAAGCCTGTCACCAGACCGCCCCGGCACTCGTCGCTGGGTGTCTGCCTTTTGGTCCTCTTCGCGACCAAGTGTTACCGCCAGCACGCAGTAGTCTCGCTTGGATCCCGATAAAAGGCGGCTGAGCACAGCTCTCTGATCGACCCCACAGCGCACTACCGCTTTAAAGGTGACAGTAGGCGGCGTGTCGTCAATCGCCTTGGCAACCTCACTGAAAAGCATCAACGGTGCATCCCAGTCTTGTTGCCTGAGAACGAACTCTTCCTGTGCAGCGGGCTTCCGCTTCACAACTTTCCAGTCGCCATCGTCAGTGTCTGGCTTTGGAGGGGCGGGGGCCGCGCCTCGCCCTTTGCCCGGTTTGTTTGGTTTAGCCGGTCGCTGTCCAGCCTCGCCGCCCTGAGCCGACGAGCCCTTGTCGCCTTTGCCCGGCCCGCCTTTGCCCTTCTCACTCTTGCCTTTGCCTTTGTCGCCTCGGTTCTCTCGACCCTTGGCTGCCGGCGGGGCAGGAGCAGCAGCAGAGGCAGGCACGGACGGGGTCGCACTAGCAAAGGCAGCACCCAGCCCAGAGCCGAAGGCTTCACGGAGCGCCTCCTTCACAGCCTCCCTCACCATATCACGAATCAAGTCTTTGAGACCTAATCCGTCAAGCAGCCCGGCACTCCCACTGGCGGGGGAGGGTCCGGGATGGCTCGCTTCGCCGATTCTCGTTGCATTTTTCCAGTCATGACAAAGCTGCTTCACTGGAATGCACATGCGCTGCACAACACTCCCTCCGAAAGAAAAGCAAGACATGACCGACGTGAAAACACATGCAAGTCCTGTCCTGCCAGCTGGACCGGCCCACGTAGAACGGCGGGTTGAGGTAGCCGAGGAAGTAGCAATGTAGCAACCCCAAGCGCTCGAAGGTCCGCCACTCCGTCGAAGCCGCAGGAGCCGAACACCTTGCCCAAGCGTAGCCCAAAAGAACAGCCTGGGAAGCCTGTCCCGGGGCAGGGTAGCTTCTCCTTCTCAGGCCATTTTTTGAGAGAAGCCTCAAACTGGTAGAAGACGCCGTTGAAGCCACAGTCTCGGAGGTCCACGTCGTCGTTGCCCTGATCAGCGGTGGTGAAAGCCGCCGTGGAACACGCAGCACAGCAAGTTGAAGTAGTCGAAGCGGTAGCCCTCGAACCAGGTCGGAGCCCAACCTTCGCCGGAGTAGCCGAGGACCAAGACGGCCCACCAGGCCTAGCAGAGTCAGCCTCACCGCCGAAGGCCGAATCGTCGGCAGCAAGCCCAGCAGCCAAAGTAGAGGTCGAAGAGCTCGCGCCCACACTGGGAACCACCATGGCGGCACAGGAGTCGCGAGGGAGGCCCAGGGGAGCCCGACGGGCTAAGGTGGCGCCAGCACCAGCGCCGCAGTCGCATCCTGAAGCAGTGGGCCCTCCATGGCGCAGAGGAAGAGGCACCGCAGCTTGAGGTTCGGGGGTGGCGCAAGCAACACAAGTGCCCAGTGTGACTGCCAATGGCAGCTCTTTGTCCTCCTTGGGATCTTTCACAGTTCTTTGTCTCACTTTTTGTACATTTCTTGATTTCACTCTTCTCGGTTTTCGGGTCCGGCTCCCGCACAAAGCACAAGGAACCCTTACCCCTAAGCCCTAAGCCCTTAGCAGCACTCACCGCAAGGTCCTGGCGAAGAGCTCCAGCACCATTGGCACGGCATCCAGGGGCCGTCTTGCAGTCGCAACCTGAAGAAGCAGAAGCCGAGGAGTCCACCAGTCGCGCAGCACTAGCGGATCTCGGCCCTTTCGGTACACCTCGACCGCTGTGTGCAGCGACACGGCGGCTCACACAAAGTTGAAGATCACCTCCAGCAAGGCCAGCACTGCCCTGAAGGCCATCGGCAGGAGTAGAAGCAGAAAGGCCCACCAGCTGCGCAGCACCAGTGGATATTCCCGCTCCTTTCGGAAGCACTTGACCACCGGGCGGAGCAGCACGGCAGACGGCTCGATTCTCAGCGAAAGCCTCGGAGTTGCCCGCCAGCTGCGCATCACCAGTGGATTTCCTCGGCCCTTTCGGAACAACCCGACCACCAGGAGCAGCAGCACGGCTCTCAGTGGCTGGATCGGAGTCGCATCCTGAAGTGTTGGTCCCTCCAATGCCATGGCGCAACGGAGGAGGCACAGCAGCTTGAGGTTCGGGGGTGGCACATGTGCAACAAGTGCCCGCTCTGACTGCCAATGGCAGCTCTTTGTCCTCCTTCGGATCTTCATAAGTTCTTTTGCTCACTTTTGGTACATTTCTTGATTTGTGTCTTCTCGGTCCTTGGGTCCGGCTCCCGCGAGTGCAGCAAGAAACCCCAACCCTAACCGCCCTAACCCCTGAAGAAGCGGCACCGACGAAGTCCTGCAACAGAGCTCCGCCGAGGCGTCCACGATGAAGCAGCCAGCGCCTGGGGCGCCGGGTGATGGTCCTCCTCACGAGGCCCCTGCGAAAACGAAGCTTGGGCCTCAATCGAAGGCCAAAGGAGCAGCGGTCGCCACAAAGCCGAGACTGCGAGCCCCGACGCCAGCGAACTCTCCGCCCACAATGGCCATCTCGTTCCAGCGCCCTGCCGCGGCCGCCGACATTGCATGAAGTCACCCGGGTGGATCGAGCCGTAGACGGTGTCCTCGTTGAGGCCGCCTGCAACTCGCTCCCATTCTCAACATCACCTGCACTTTCGCTCACAAGAAGGCGATCGCCCTTCCCGGTAGAAGTGGCCACACAGCTGCAGCCAGATTCACCACAGCCCAAAATGGGCTCATCACTCACGGCACTCTCCTCTCGAAGCTCACACATGGTTCCTGAAGTATTGTAGCCAAGGCTGCCACCCACAGCAGCCCTCAGCCGGTCCAGAGCTCCCGAGTAGGCGAGAGCCCCTTCAGCACATGGATTTCCTTGGTCACGAAGTTTGCAAAGCAGCAGCATGAGCCCTGACCCACAGGACCATCCACCGCCCTCGCTCTCTGGTGCCATGAAGCCACTGCGCTAGCGATCTTTGCAGGGGCCTAACTCCCCCCCCGCCCTGGCCGTGCACAAAATGCGCTGGAGGCGTCGCTAGAGCCAAAGGCTTGATGCAATCATGCAAAGTAGGATCCCAGCGCTCAGGCGTGCGGCGGATCGAACGAGTGATGAGGAGTTTACCGCCTGCTGTCACAACCAAGTGTCCATCACTAGCATTGGCCTTGCCCAACCACATCGATCGGACCCATTTCGCAGATCCTTTCACAGGCTTGTTTGTCATTGCTGTGCGGCACATAGCCATCACACACTCACCGAACTCGACAAGTTTCCCCGTGTAGGGAGACTGAAAAGTGCATTCAAACGGTGTCTGCTGGTCTCGCGCAACAATAAACCTGTTTAGCAACCACGACCCGTGCCGGGCCGCCCACGCGTGAAGTGGGTGCAGGCTGCTCACTTGCTTGCCAGTGTTGTGCTCATATGCACTCAACAGCACACATGTCTGCTGCCTGGTGGATTCCACTGCTTCCTCGGCTGCACCGTTTGATGCCTTCTCCTCCTCGCCTGACTGCTCCAGCCTCGTCCTTTGGCCAAGTCGACCTCTGGCCTTCTGCACCTCCTGTTGAAGGGTCCTGCAACTGGGCTCGGGGTCGCAACGTATAGTCACGTCATTGTATCCAAGCACATTGCACAGTCGGACGACCTCGCTAGTGAGAAACTTGATGCTCTCAGGACCGCCTTTGCGTTTGGTGGGGATGGCCTCTCGCCAGCCTGTAGCACGGTCCTTGACACACAAGGTGATGAGTTTGTTCTCTGGGTCAAGATCACGACCTGTGAACCCAAAGTCGAAGGAGAGGATTGAAACAGCCCGTTTGGGCTCAGCAGTGGCACTCGCTCGATCACTTCGTGCCTTGTGCATCACACAGTGTTGGCACCATTCGCGATATGGTGCATGGGTCAGATTGTGTTGCAACCGTTCATGCAGTGTCGGCTCCTTCACAAGTGGAACCTCGCGGGGCTCACGACTTTCAGCCTGTGCAAGCTCTTGCTTCTGGCGTACACCCTCGGCAAGTTCAAGACGCTTCAAGTGATCACACAACCTTTTGTACACCTTGACTTTACCACCTGAGCGGCCAATGTTAAGGTACTCACAGGCTTTGCGCATGACGCTCAATGCCGATTCGGCTGTCACTCTGACCCCATTCACTTCAATGAAGTCACCAGACATATCATCATCCCGCGTTGCAGCTTCCAAGGCTACCTGCTGGTCCACAGGCACATTTGCACCATCATGGTGCTGCTTCTCATTTTCAACATCACTTGCAAACAAAGCTTCAAGGTCGGGGGTGCCTGGGACAGTAGACTCGAAAGGAGGCGAGCCAATGCCACCTTGCGCAGCCTGCTGCGCATCGCTTGCAACCTCGCCTTCACCTGATGCCTGTGCTGGCGCACTCATTGCAACATCCGGCACCTCAGGCACATCGCCCTGCACAACAATCCCAAGCTGCTCTGCGGTCAAAGCTTCCCTGGAGGCAATGGTCAGAACTGTGCGCTCTATGCCATCATCAAATTGCTCATCAAGCACATCTAAAGTTGTTATGTCCCGACACAGTTCCCAAAGCTCCCAAATGCGCATTACAGGATCTATGCAAACCAAAGTGGTGCGGTACTGCATGCCTTCCATCGGTAGATACAACGTCACATCAAGGTATGCATTGGACTCGCATTTGAGCCCTTGCACTCCTGGGATCAGCTCCTCGAAGAACTCACTGCCGCTGCTGACCATACCTTCAAGGACAGGGTTCAAGCTGACCGCACGCACGACGCTCTCAGGCGGCTTGCTTGTCACAACTCTGATGCACCCATCCACAACAAGGCTGTTGTGTCTGAAGCGCACGGGCACCTTTCGGGAGCCCTTGGCCAACACAATCTCATTGTTTTCGTGTAGAACGCTCCATCCAGCCTTGTACAATTTTCCGCATGCAAGCAAAGGTGACGTCACATCTGTCACCAGAAAGCGTTCACGAAAGGTGACCCCATTGTCGAGGACAACCTGTGCATACCGCCATCCATAAGCCTTCAACGGGTTCCCTTGTGCGTCGGAGAAGTTGGCACGCTGGTTTGTGCTTGCTTTGCAACCCACATGTGCAAACGCATAAGGTAAGCACGACTCATCTGCGCCTGAGTCCAACACCACTTCGGTGAGCTCGTCAACCGCGGGCAGCTGATCACACTCACCACGGAATCCAGCCACCCTGATGACACCTTTCACTGGGACTGCTATGCCATCACACGACAAGTCGATTGCACAGTCCCCTTGGGAGCTAGTCCACTGTTCATCTCCATCGGTACACGACATGTCGTACCACTCTGCACCTACGGCATTCGCTGACGCCTGACCTGATTGCACCTCCACGGGACCTGATTGCACCTGAGTGGGACCTGATTGCACCTGAGTGGGACCTGATTGCACCTGAGTGGGATCTGATTGCACCTGAGTGGGACCTGATTGCACCTGAGTGGGATCTGATTGCACCTGAGTGGGACCTGATTGCACATGAGTGGGACCTGATTGCACATGAGTGGGACCTGATTGCACATGCATACCCACGCAAAGCTGAACAGCCCTGATGTTAGAACTGCTTCCCAGCGAAAACACGCTCAAATCAATCTCATCATCACTCTCAAACACAGTGTGCACTGCCTCAACACGGTTCACCTGGCGAGTCGACACCGTGGGAGCACGAGTGCTCGCAGTGGCCTGTGAAATAGTAGACGCTGCAGAGGAAGGGACAATCGGGATTTGCGGTTCCTCGGCCACTTGTTGCACGCGGCCCTGGCGCGGTGCAAACCAACACTCATTCTTCCAATGCCCTCTGCGCCCACAGTTCGCACAAACGTTGGCATCAAGTTTGCCCTTTCCTCCACCTTTGCCCTTGCCCTTGGCTCCCTTAGGGATCCTTTCCTTTCGCTCCTTTCTGATGCCCTTTCCAGTCCTGTGCGCCCCATCCTTTTCCTTTGCCACCTCCTTTGCCTTTGTCCTTGCCACCATAACCTTTGCCGCCTTTGCCTTCCTTGCCTTTGGCCTTTCCATCTCCTTTGCCTTTTCCTTTCATCTGAAGACGATCTATCTCCATTTGGGTGCCATCATCCTGATGATGCTTGTTTCCAAGAAGCATGCTATCTTGTGCAAACACATTCCCGGCACCCCACTTGAACTGCACACGCTCGTAGCGAAGGACCGCTTCTCTCAGCACAGCATAAGAAGCATCCTCAGGAAGCGACGCACAAATGTGTTGGCGCATCACCCCTGACAACGAACGCAAAAGCAAGGCACTCTTGAGGCTAGGCTGCACGTCTTCGCCACTGGCAAGGGAATACTGCTCAAAAGCGCGTTCCAACTCCAACACTTGTGGCAAATAAGGCTCCCTAGGGTTGAACCCTTTTATCTGTGTGAGCGCACTAAGGATCCCCAAGGACCTCACTTTGCTGGGCGGCTGAAATTGCAACAGCAGCATCCTCAAGGCTTCATAGCCCTGCTGCTGGCTGATCTGCTTCACCGTCTGGAAGGCCCTTCCCTTGATCAGGGTACTCAAGAGAGCATACAGCTGAAAGCTCCTGGCTTGCTGCTCTGCACTGACAATCAAGACTGGGGTGTTCAAGGATCGCTCTACTTCAGAAATTTCAGCATCGAAGTTTTGATCTACTGCCACCAAGAACTGTCTAAATACCCAGTACCAACTATGCCAGCGACTATGCTCATCCTCGGCCTTGTCAACCTTAAAGGGCTCGGGCTTAGGGAGGATTTTAAGCAAGTCACGCCCTTCAAGTCCAGCTCTGCCACCTGACATGTTCTGTGCATTGTGCATTGACTGCACAGCTGTGGCAGCAATTGAAGCGGCATTTGTCGATGCTTCCACCATGGACGCCATTCGATTAAGCATTGCTTCAAGTGCCATACCCATGTTGCTAGGGCTTGCCGCGGGACTAAAAGGGTTCTGCTGGGCTGCTTGCAACTCGGGCCCATCATCATCGATCTCCGGCATCGGGATCGCAGCTGCCTGCGCTTGCGCTTGCGCTAGCGCCTGTGCAGCTGCTTGTGCATCATGCTCCATGGCACTACTGTCGGTCGGCCCCGACGTCTGCAGCTACCCGCCGCGCTTACTTCACCGAAAATGCACACCAAACAATCCTGGATCACTGTTCCAACCTGGACAATGGCACACAGCTGGTTCCGAACGGCCTCCTCCACACCGAGAACCCAAGAACCTAGCCGTGACGTGTCAATGCCCTTTTCACTACCACTACCCTGGGGTCTGGGTCCTGCCCCGAGCAGCGGTTCGCCAAACACACAGGAGTGGCTTACCAGCTGCTCCGCTACCATGCTAAGATTTTCCTCTGATTCACACGCCTGCGGAGTCATTCAATTCAGATTGGGCTCTAAACTACAGTGGAGCAAAACAAAACATACAGCATGCAAATTAGTTCAGTATGGCAGCATACACCGTGGTACACAAGTGGGTACAAACTTTAGCATCTTAGGAGGTGATATGAATTGCAGCGTGACGCCTCTTGCCAGGCTCGTCGGCACTGGTGTTCTCCCGGGTCCACAGACAGAGGCTGCCAAGCAAGATAGGGCGCTCTTCATGCAGATTCTGCAAGCGCATCAACTCTGCATCCTCAACAGCTGGAGTCGGCCGACAGCCACGTATCAACATCCTAAAGGCAGGTCGCAAATTGATTTCATAGCGACACGGGTGCCCTTGGCGGATGGATGGGCGAAGACCTGTAGACCCTACGAGTCTCTACTAGCTGGGTGGCGTTCAGCGGGACACAAGCCTCTTGTTGCCAGTTTGCGCCCCTCCTGGAAACCTTGGGCACTCTCCAGGAGCGTCAAAGATGATGCCATACGAGCCGCCCAAGACAGCCTTGGATACGCTGAGGGTCTGCTCAAGCCCTTGCACGTAGCGCTGCAGTCTAGCTCAGCCAGGCCAGACCCTCGACCAAGCATGCCGCAGCGAGCGAATGTAGACCAGCATATCCACGGTTTCTGGCAACTCCGCAGACGTGTGAGCAAGCTTCGCTGGCGAGATGCGCGTGGCATTCTCCTTGCTTGGCACTTGAGTGCGCGACTTAAAGCTGCAAAGCGGGACGTAGACCGCAGATTGCGCCAGGCTAAACGTGCCCGTATTTTAGCAGTCCTCCAGCAAGCAGAGGATGCGGCGGCACAGAAATTGGCTGGCGGGTTCTACCGGTTTGTCAAGCTCCTTAGCCCGAAAACCAATGCCCAACGCATAAGGCTCCGTGATGATCAGGGTGGACTCGTAGATCAGCGCGGGGAATGCAAAATCCTCGCCAACTACGCGGCATCCCTGTTTAAAGGTCAAGCCTGGACCCTTCCCCAGCTTCTTCCCGTGCCGACAGAGCTCTTTTCGGCTGCGCGATGGCTCGAGGCCTTCAGGGTTATTCCTCGGAATAAGGCTGTCCCTGTTTTCACGCCACCACTGGCTAGCTGGAAGGACCAGGCTAAAGAGCTCAGTAGTGCGTTAGAGGGAGTCGTGGCTCGCAGCATTGGTGCCGAATCTCCCGTCATTCCAGTTGAATGGGTCTCGGTACAGATTGCTTGGCTACCAAAGCCTAACAAGTGCCCCTCCTGCCCGTCTAACTTGCGCACCATCGGACTAATGTCCGGGGATCAGAAAGCTCTCCTTCACATCATCAAAGAGCACATCCGGGCCCCCATCATGTCTGCACTACTGCACACTCCGCAGTACGCGTACAGAGCTGGGGTCTCTACACATGATGCCATACTTCGCTCTTCAGGACACTGCGCCCAGATGCGGCGTCAGCTTGAGTCGCTCAAGACAGATCTTACTTCGAAGCTTTCCGGTAGGCATAGGACTGAGCTTGTCGGTGGCCTCATGGCCAACCTGGACTTGGCCAAGGCATTTGACACTTTGCCGTACTCAGAGATTTACCAGTCGCTGTGTGACGCAGGAGTTGATGACATTTTATGTAGGCTGATTGTTCACCTTCATGCCTCAACACAGTGCGTCATTTTGCATGGTTCTTCCTGCGAAGTCGTTGCCATGTCGCGCGGGCTGCGTCAAGGATGTCCCATTGCGCCATATATCTTCGCGGCTTGGTCTGTAAGAGTGTGCAAGTGCATTGATGCGGTCCTGGGGTCGGGTTGGAGCCAATCTCATTTGACTTTGTTTTCGGACGACACACACTGCTTTTGGAGCATCAACAATGTCGCCGAGCTCGATGTTGCAGTCGGGCAGCTGACAACAATCATCCAAACTCTCACCCGTCTTGGGATGCGGATCAACTTTAGTAAGTCCTCTGCGGTCTGTGCGCTGAAAGGTTTGGGTTCTCACCGAGCACAGCGCAGACACTTCTGCTGGCGTGACGGCATGCTGTGCCTCCGATTGCGCCAGGAGCCTGCGGACCTGCATATTCCTTTGGGGGAAACTCTGGAGTACCTTGGGGTCATTCTAAGCTATCACCATTTTGAGCTCCAAAGTGCCATGTTCCGTGCCAGCAAGGCTGATGCTAACTTTGCGCGCTTACACAAAGTACTTCGCACCAATGGTCCCCTTTCGGACAGACAGCGTCAGCGGGTATATACAGCTTGTGTGCATAGCTGCCTAGTTTACGGTCTTGCCGGGGTCGGTTTCACGAAAGCCAGCTACAGGGTGATTCAGTCCAAGCTGTGCCAGCATCTGTGTAAAGTTCTGCGCGTGTATCAGGAAGGAGTCACCAATCACTCCGTACTACAACGTGCGGGCATCGCCCCTCAGGATGATCTCCGCAAGCGCGCCGCAGCGCAGCTGCGTGCCATCGAGTCTGACACAGGCCGATCCCCCTCCCTCAAACACCACGAGCTCAAGCGTGCGCAGGAAGTCATTGAGAGTCTTGATGTTGCCATTGAATGCAGTTCCGGAACCCCTACAACTTCGCTTGTTCGGCTTTGTGCTAGCGCCACCGCCATTGCAGAGTGTTCTGTCTGTGGTCAGTCATTTGCGGGGAGCCACAATCTGGTCATGCACATTAATTCCAAACATCCCGAGATCAATCAGACTGCAAAGGTTGCGTTCAAACGTCATTTACATGCTCTTCATGGTGTACCGCGTTGCCGCTTCTGCCGTGTTGTGCATCACAGCTGGCAGGTTCTTGAACAGCATATCACCTGTGGCATGTGCCCGGTCATCAAAGCTGGAGTTGGTAGAGGGTTTAACATTGAGGCCATTTTTCAGTCTGTTGTTGAGAACGAGCTCATTGACCCCCCGATCCCACCAGTAGGCATCTCCAGTAGCTCTGCCTTGCTCTTCTATGGGCCCGAGCACCGGCAGTGCCTCCCATCTGTTATCAAGCAGGTGCCCACGGTTCGTCAATACACCACTGCGTGCGCTCTCTGCGGGCAACGCCTCCAGGATGCAAGCCGCATTAAGGACCACTGGCGCAAGACTCATGCTCTTGCCTGGCAGCTTGCAGAGGTAGAAGCTCGTAGTCACGCCAGAAGCCTATGTGCCACCTTTAGCGTCCCATGCCAATACTGCTCCAGCACAGCCAAAGACCCCAAAGCCCATTCGGCGCAATGCCCGGCCATGTTTCAACTGCTTGCTGTCAGGATTCTGCATCGCAAGCGCTGCACGCTGGGCGAGCTCCAGAAGGAAGCGGGCCCAGGCCAGCGCCAATCTGAGCGTACAGCTGCGTACACAACATACAATCCTGCATCGCAGCCCCTGGCTAAAGCCTTTCAAGCTTCTAGTCAGCCCCAAACGAGTAGCAGCACCTCGCGAGGTTCGCATACGGCTGCGGCTGCAGCTCCAACCACGCGGAGCCCCGGTACAGTCACAAACACTAGTCCTGCCCCTCGTGACCCTAGCATCCCTAGCATCTTCAGCCGGCACGCTGGTGCTATCTCTACTCCCCTAGGTTACCCCGCCTTAAATGCGATTGAATCCGGTTGTCTTGTTTGTAGTTCTTGGGCCGGTCGTATAAGGTTGGCAAATCCGCACACTCAGTGCTACATCAATGCTAGCATTCTAGCGTTGGGCCACGCCCTACACGTGCTGCCCATACCGAGTGCCCTTGATGACGTGCTTCGCATTTGTCAGGAGCACGGCTCTGCCTCTCATTCTCTTCACATTGCAGCTCAGGCCGAACTGGTAGCACTCACGCCCACTTGGTTTTTCGGCATACGTCAGCAGGATGCCGCTGAGTATCTCACGCTATTGCTTCAGTTTCTCATGCATGAAGCGTGGCAGTCCAGGCTGCAACACGAAGGGGTACAAGTGCGGGACCGTGGTTTACTTATCACCCTAGACCTTTCTCGTTCCGGTTCAAATTTGCAGCAGTCGATTCAGGACTGGCATGTGCAGCATTTTACCCATGCGCTAAGCGCCAGCCCTCCAGTGTTGTGCATTCAGCTTGGCCGGTACCCGGGTTATCGTAAGCTTGCGCATCCTATTAACATTCCACAAGCCCTTGATATCCCCTCGTTTGTTTCAGCGGATTCGCTGTCGGTTACCTGGGTGCGCTACTCTGTCACCTCCATCATTGTTCACCTAGGCCGGTCTCCTCATACAGGGCACTACCGCGCCTTGCTTCAGGCCGATGGCTGCTGGTTTTATACCAATGATCATGTCTGTTCTCATCGCACGGCTTTGCAATCACAGCATCTCCGTGGCTCATACATTCTGGTGCTTACACGAGTGGCTCAATCCGGACAGTAGCGCAGCACCTTGCTGACCCTTAGGTGTTATGTTGACTGAGGCCGAGGAGTTTGCATCATTTGATTTTCTCGCCTCTTATGCGCCTAACGGGGCCGGCATTCTCCGCGCCACATGAAGATGAACGAGATACCGAGATACCAAGTGGCAGAGACGTGACAACAACAAAGGCGCGCCAGGCAAAGGACGCGGAGATTCCAAACGAGATCGTGAACAGTTCGGCCAGTCCAATCAAGGGCCCCATCGTGGCAATCAGCGCAGCTTTCTAGGCCACTTTCGCTCTCGCGAGGGAGGTGGTGGCGGTGGCGGTGGCGGTTCGGAGGCGGAAGCGGAGACCCAGCTCAGGAGTCACATGATTCGTGGCATGGATGGCAGTCGTACGCTTCATATGCTTCGCCCTCGGAGGTAGCGCAGCTTCGGAACGAGGTTCAAATGCTTCAAAAGATTGTGCTGCGTCACGAGGACGCGCTAGGCTTGATGCGGCAGGAGGTGGCGTTCATCATTCACTTCCGCATCGGTGTGGACGCATCCTTGGTCAACGACATCTACAAGTCACAGCTTGGATGGCGTGAGCTTCGCAAAAACCAGCCGGCCAAGATCACCACAACCCTTCGCAACACGCTGATGGAGTGTGTGTTCAAGGTTCTTCTGCATCGTATACAGAAGCTGGAGGACCCAGATCAGCAGGCAGTGCGTGATCGCCTTACCAAGGCTGGATGGCTTGACTCCAGCTCCTCGTCATGGACGTGGGCTTATCTCTCGTGGGACCCAGCACAGCGTACCCAGATTGTCAACAAGGACCGCAGCCCCACTCGGAAGTGAAAGCTGCTCTCACGTCACTTTTGGAGGGCGTCAAAAAGCCCGACTCGGTGACAAAATTTCACCCGCTGCGACCGGTGACCAACTCCATGTCAGGCGAGAGCGTAGCCTTCGCATTGCAATATCCGTTTCGTGGTGAGCTAGCCCGCTCGCTCTATGAAGCTACGGTGCAGCTTAGCAACTCGTCGGCCACGCAGATGATTGCTGCGCAGATCAGGGTGGATCGGGAGCAGCGCTCGGGGCTTGCTAACGCCATAGCGCGACAGAGCTGAGCTGCGGCTCGCGGATACACAATGCCACTGGCATTAAGATTTTGGCTCTTTGACAGAGTCTCGTAGCAGAATCCCGGGGTTGCTACTGCATAAGCTTCTGCTTGACGCCCGCGCTCAGAAACTGGCAGCATGTCGCATTGGGTTGTATAGCTGGTTTAGTGCCTGCGTATGTTCCATACACGCTCGGCTGCACTTCACACGTTGGCAGGTGCAGCAGCAGCGATTGCCAGCATCGCGGCGGCTTTGGAGTCGTGCTCTTCTGCTGGCATGGGTTGGGTACTTCGGATTTCGGTTGGTTGTGGTTGGCTCTGTTTCGGCACCGTGCATGTCCGGGTCTTCACTTGGAGGGGCGTCTCTTGTGTGCTATGTGCCTGCCATAGGAGGTGCAACGTAGGCACCTTGCCGTCGCTTCCATCAAACCGCTGCGCGCGCGCCTTATGAGACCACCCTTGCCGTCGCTTCCATCAGCCTGGTGCGGCGCCTTATGAGACCACCCTTGCCGTCGCTTCCATTGCCAGAAGCACGTCCGGAAGAAGCATAGTAGGAAACAGCCTGCCCCGGGTTGCTTTCGGTGTGATGTGCAGGCACCTGTTTCAGCAACGATTCGTCATCTGAGGCAAAGTCAGAAAGAGTCCTGTGAGCTTTAGCAGGACATCCAAGCTGCCGATCAAACCTTGACCCAGTCGAAGAACAACAGAAGCCACGAGCAAGTCCGAAGGGTTTCGAGGATCTGTCGGAGGTTGATGCTCTGGAGGCGTTCATGTTGAACCGGGGCGCGGCAACACTGCAACACCTGCTCAGTCCGCTGCAGCGGGCTCGCCGCAGTGAGGGCGGGAGACGAGCTTGCACTTGTCCTGTGAACCGGCTTCCATGTGACATATCCAGCTGAGTAGCTTTGTATGCGTAGTTGTGGCTTAACCTCAAGTCACTTGTAGTTCTGTCTTCATGTCATTTGTCGTACATTCGCGGCTTCCACATGTTAATGAGTCGGAGATAACATGTTGTCCCGACGAGTGCGCTGGACCCACGGGTCGGCATTCATTCCAGCACCGAAGGTGCCAGGATCTTAGCTCTGACCGAGCGGACGTAACGCGGCCCTCGCGGCCGTGGCGTGCAGAGAGAGAGAGAGAGAGAGAGAGAGAGAGAGAGAGAGAGAGAGAGAGAGAGAGAGAGAGAGAGAGAGAGAGAGAGAGAGAGAGAGAGAGAGAGAGAGAGAGAGAGAGAGAGAGAGAGAGAGAGAGAGAGAGACTCCGCATTGCCTCTCGGTGAGCAAATTCTGCGCACGATTGGGCAACACCACAATTGCCATGCTGTTCGCAGGGCTGGAGGCCAAGATCTTCGTGATCGCCGTGAGGATGCCACTTGTTTTCGTTGCAGTCACGATTCCCGCAGTCGGCAGTGAGCACCACACGACATTTACGCTGGCAGCTTCCTGCCTGATGTATGTCTGGACCGAGGGCAATACCGTGCTCTCCATGTCACGCGTAGTGGTGTGGAACAAGCGCAGATTGTCCGTCCGTCATGTGCAAGCCTACTTTCTTCCATGCTCGTTCGTGCGCCTCCTGCAACAAATTGACTTCAGACCTAACTAGAGGCTTTGTTAAGCGGATTCCTTTATACATTCGGCTCGTGTCCTCCATCAGCTCCACGATGTTGTTCCTTGTCTTCTCCATGTCTGCGGTCCGCCTCAGGTGCACACCGTGCGTACGAGCTAGACCCTGGACTCTCACGCAATTGCTGATGCATTCAATCAAGTGACTGCAATGAATCCTGTTCGTATTGGGCTTCGTCCGACAGAACTAATTCCTTCCACGAGGTAAAGGCGGCTTTGTTTGCCTTCTCCAACGCTCGAGTCGTGCGACACTGCGATTGGGCGATGAGGTCATTGACCACACACCCCTTGGCCTGAGAGTTTGGTTTAAGGGGAAACGGCAATAATGAAAAAAGAACTTCTACCAAAGACTGGATCCAGAAGCAAGGTTTAGAATCGTTTAGAAGGGTTCCCTTTTACGGGTCTCCCTCATGCCTCGAGAACCTCTCCCAGCTGAATCCGTTCGATGCCGACTTAATGGCTGCTGCGAGCTCGTTGTCCAGGAGCCTCAGTGTTATCTTTAACTTTGCTGATCCACCCTGCCGGATTTGACTGGTTTGCTTTCATGGAATTAATATACGAAGTGTTTTTTCAACTTGGAAGGTATTTGCGGCACCTCCATTCCACAGCACATGGAGTGAATCCAAGCCTAATTCATGTTGAATATATCAAGGAAGCCATCTCCAAACATATATAAATTCAAGGAAACCAAACCAAATCGGGTAAAGTTCAAGGAAACCAAACCAAATCCAAATCCGAATCAGTGAAACACAAACAAAAACTCAAAAAATCAATCACATTTTCCGTCTTGGGCCAACTTCGAAAACGCGATCGATTCTCCAGAAAACCAATCACAATTATATATTGCAAAAAATAATCAATCACAATCTCGGTGTTGGGCCGTTGGCCAAAACGTGATCGATTCATTTTTGCAATATCAAAACGCGATCGATTCTCCAGAAAACCAATCACACTTTCGGCCGTGAGCCAACTTCCAAATTGTGATTGATTCTGTCCGGCCAAATGGTTGCCAAATGGTTTCCTTGATTTTCTGTAAATTCCAGGAAGCCATCGCCAAACATATATATATATATATATTCCAGGAAGCCATCGCCAAACATATATAAATTCAAGGAAACCATCGCCGAACATATATAAATTCAAGGAAACCAAACCAAATCGGGTAATAGTTCAAGGAAACCAAACCAAATCGGATAATAATTAAAGGAAACCAAACTGCTGGGCAGCCCGCGTTCGAACATTTCCTGCTGCTGCGCAACTGTCTCCGTTGGGAACATTTTCTGCAACTTCGGCAAAATGTACAACCACAGCAAGACGATGTCGTGAAGCTCCATCTGCTTCTCGTCGGAGAGTTGTGCTGCTTTCTGCCAAGCTACATCATGTGCACATTACGACACGCTCATCGAAGCAAACCCAATAATTGAACTCTGTGGAACAGTACGGCCTTGGCTTTGGTGCTGGATCTCGTGGTCACCTCGCGATTGAAGTCCTGGCCATGATACGAATGAATTTATACCACTGTTTCATTTGTGTCATATTGCTAACTGAACAATATGACGTCCTTGATGACACGTGTCGCCCACGCGCTCGCAGATCCGTCCGTTGTTTGCATGATGGACCCCCATAGCTCACTCTGCCTGAAGCGTTGAACCTGCCTCTGTTGATTTGGCAGCCACCAATCAGCTGCCAGTACGTCGATCGGCATACCTGTCAAAAGACCGCTCAGGAAAACACAAGCTGAAGCGGTTCAGGGTTGAGGCAAGGCTTAAGGGTTGATTAGGGTTGCGCCAATCCTGAGACTTCATGCTTGTAGTCGTCGTAGTGAGCTCGGATGATTTCTCTGAATTCGGCTGTCGATCTGAGCCTCAGATGTGGTGGATGGTGTTGAACCAGTAGAGCGGAGAGGTTGCACTGCGGGCTGTTACACAAGAGAAAAGCCGAGCAGCAGATTCATAATTAGGTTCTTCCGTCCGGCGTTGATTCTGTGTTTGGTTATAGTGACTCTCTTGTTATAGTTGGCAACCGCAGCGCCGAGAGCATCCCGGAGGGGTGCCTTCTTGGATCTTCCTCCATGATTCTGTTCAATTTCGATTGCGGCTGCCATTTCTGCAGCCAAGACCAGCGGACTCGGTGCTTGCTTCTCTGAAGTAAGGTAACCATTGCCTCAAGGGAACACTGATTTCTGCGGAGTTTGAATTTATGAAACTGCGATGCTCAACATGAGTGCATGTGCGGCCAAGCAGCGAAGTGCCTCGTAGTGATACTCAGCGGGATTTGCGTGGAAGGAGAAGCTGCATCTGATGTAACGGAACGAGTTCAGGGTGAACACGAGTTGTGGGTCGTGCAGTTCTTCGTCTGTCAGTTCCAGGTGGTAAACAATGCTGACAATGGCTTGCATGATCGTCAACTTCGTTTGTCCGTCCGTAACACCGACAGCAAAGTCCGCTCCGTGCTCGCTGAAAGATCGATCACCTCTGGATTTACTATTTATTGTCAGGGGTATTGAACTTGAAGTTCCTGTGCTACATCATCGCTGCAGACTAGGCACTTTGGCAGTGAGGAAACTTCACGTCCACTGACTCGCTGGGGCGGTAGCCACGCAACAGAAACTCCAAGAAGTGCGTTTTTGTTTGTACATTTGCTGCATGCAGACCGTTCTTCATGGTGTGATCAAACAAGAACGCCGACAAGGGAAGCCAACCCTCACAGTTCTCTGTTGGGACGGAGGTGATAACTCTCTGCTCCGTGGTCGCAGGCTGCGTCATGACTAAGTTGTTGATGGCCTGTCAAGGGGTCACACGACAATGTTATCCACTGGAGGAGTGCGACACTGGTTTTGCCCGAGCCTCTTTCATACTGTCTTTTGTCATGCGGTCTGCAACTTGTTGCCCGATGTTTCCTTTCTTCAGCATAACCTCGAACTGCGCATGAATCTTCTGCATAACGGCCGGCATCTCCGGCGTGTCCGTGTCATTCGTCGCCATTCTTGCTACGTTTCGTCAGAACCGGGCTATCCGTGCTTTCAGGACTAGCCAAATGCTGAGCAATCACGAGAAGTTAAGTGCAGGGGCAGATTCAGGTCAGGGCACACGACACGAACTGCACGGATGGGACACTTCTCTGTCTTATCGCGGCACAAAGTACGTCACTGCATCCTTGAAGTTCGTGTTGAACTCAAGTTTGTCGAGTTACATCCTTGAAACTCGTCTTGACCATGTTCGCCTTCGCCCTGCGATCTGGTGTGCGCAGAGAAACCAGACTCGGCCAGAACATCTTACCTCCTCCGGAATGCCACCCTGAGGTGGAAAGCTTCGTGGCGGTGCGGAGGTGCAAGCTGGACGTTCATCATTCCTGAGTTAGACTGAAAGTTCAATAGATAGTAGTGGAA